ACAGTACAACCTTCAGGAATCGTCACTGCTCAGAGAGATGGATGAGCTGAAGGAGCAGCTGCGGTACTCTCCTCTGGTGTCGCGCTTCAACACAAGTGTATATATGTCGATGCTCCCAGCTGAACCCCCCCCCAGTGTTGAGCTGCACAGAAACTGAACAACAGTGGCACAAAACGGGGACCAAGGTTACAATCTTTTAATTATACTATTATTATGTGTATACATATTTCTGTTATAACCTTTCAACTTGTTTTTATTTGGAAACAAGGTATTAAACCAGGTCCAGTTGATGACATGGTCATCATATCAGCCAGACCGAGAGAGGAGACCGGTAGAATGAACAAGGTATGTTTTTCTTTCCGTACTGCACGCACACGCACACACACACACACACACACACACACACACACAGAGGCATCAGCAAGGTACAATTCTGTATTTTTTTCATTCCCTCCGATGCGGAGCTGAGAAGTATGTATGTGGGTTATTGCTAGTCGCAGAGACAGATTTTCTGAAACACAACTGTAGTCAGTCTGATGAAAATCAAGAACTTGGCTCTGTGAGGATCTGGACACCAGAGGAGGAGATAAGGCCAAATCTGCCTGTAGACTTTTAGGACTACCCAGACACTGCAGTCATTCTTGACTGCACTGAGCTGATGTGTCAATGTCCATCTTCCCCTCTCCTCCAGAGTGAGGTGTTTTCCTCCTACAAAGGAGCCTGATGTCTGAGCACCTCAAGTCATGTAGGGCAACCACACTGCATATTTACACACTTCCATAAAGGTATTGCATTTAAAGCTTTCACTCAGATGATCTTCAACGGTGCTGTGCCCTTCTGAGGGCTTGAGATGCGGTACCTTTACAAAACCTCTGCAATAAAATAAGTTATGATTAATTTCTCAACTGATGAGTTCTTAAAATTTTTTAAAACCCTGTCATGCTTAAATGTGTATTTGTATAAGTTTAAAATGGTTTTGTAATAAAAGAAATTGAAAGTTTATGGTTTCAAATACTTCTTTGGTAAATAAAATAAGTCATCGGTTTTTGTTTAGTCTTCTTTAATTCATTTAATTTAAATCTTATCTTTTGAAACTAAACTGAAGCCATTTAAAAATGATTACTCATCTAGCAAACAAAACATCACAAACAAGAAAATGCAGAAATATTTAATTTTACTGCAGATTTACATTGAATTTCCTCCACAGTAATTCTTTACATTTAAACAGCAATGAAAACATCACAATAGTGTCTGTATGACTTCCATGTCACGGGGAACTCGCTGAATAAACATGTCATCTGTGGTGTAGACAACAAAGTCACACCACTCACATGGAGAAATCAACATTTGTCCACCGACCTGCCAGTAATGAGGATGAGATCGCCATAGAGTAAACCTTTTCTGAGCATAATAGTCCACAAAGCTACACACATTTAGGCATTTTATTTCCAGCAGGCCACACTCAGGCTGCCCTCAGGATCATACATAATCCCAGCTGGTGTTGAACCCATCCATGGTGCCTCAGGGTGGATCAGGACCCCACATGGGTAGTGGTTTACCTCTATTACCTTTCAGTACTCCTTGATGGCTGTAGGCTCCAAAGCAAGACCCCAACATATGTCATCAGTCTGACTACTTGCTCCCATAGGCTGTTTCACAAGGTTCTCAGTAGAACCTTCTGCCCTGGTGTGACACACTTATCTAAATTTTGTAGAAGTGATGTGGCATCTCCTTAGTTGGTGTCCCTCCACACAGAAACTCTGCGATTGTGTTCTGTTCTCAGCTTTGTATGATTTCCCCAATGATGTTGTGAGGGATGTGAAATGATGATGTTCAGTAAACACAAATGCACTTGCAGAGGGTCCCAGTCTATAATGAGAGACAGTTGTGGGAGAGAAGGGTTGTCTTTGTGTGGACGCGTCCTGGGGGCCGTCCTCACTGGTAGTTGGTAAGATGGCCCGCTTCCCTCCTGCACCGAACCAAACGTGGACCCAACCAGAGGTACATCACCAGACACAGCCATGGTTGTTATCACTGGAGCCTCATCTGCACCAAGTCTGTGGTACGCCTCCTGCACCTTCAGAACGAAGCTGTCTGCCATCGGGGAAGCTGACTCCTTTTTACAAACTGCTTCTGGGGAAGAAAAACAAAAGTCAAATGGTGTGTGTGTGTGTGTGTGTGTGTGTGTGTGTGTGCGTGTGCGTGCAGAACAGAAAGAAAAACATACCTTGTTCATTCTACCGGTCTCCTCTCTCTTGGTCTGGCTGATATGATGACCATGTCATTAACTGGACCTGGTTTAATACCTTGTTTCCAAATAAAAACAAGTTGAAAGGTTATAACAGAAATATGTATACACATAATAATAGTATAATTAAAAGATTGTAACCTTGGTCCCCGTTTTGTGCCACTGTTGTTCAGTTTCTGTGCAGCTCAACACTGGGGGGGGGGGGTAAGTTTCAGCTGGGAGAAATGGGCTGTCTGGTAGCTGAGCTGCCACATGACATCACAAGGCTGCACCTGCCACACATACACTGGCACCCCCACCGGCTTTGAATCCCTTAGCAGAATCTGTTACAACACAGAATATTTGTTAAGAGTACAACTGCATTTAAAGAGAGACAAACATTGATGATTAACTTCACTTAACTCGTTTTAAAATAGAAGAGTAGAACAAGTAATGGAAACAAATAAAATAACTGTAAACAACGTTGTGCTTCTGCGAGTCATCTAATGTCTGACTTTCTGTGACATGCTATGTATACAAACTTTACTTACTATATTCTTTCTGGGACACATTTTATCTCTGATACCACATGACACACGTAGTTCAGGCATGTCATTAACCTGTTATCAAACTAAAAGCAATGATATGACTCGCAAAAATGTGACGTTTAAAAACATCAACAGTCTTCTTTTGAACCTGAATCAATCCTGCAGGGTAACGATTCCCTACACTCAGACAGTGGGGCTTCTGGTTTTTCCTCATTGGCCTGAAACACTCGGACCTAACCGTGACCTCTCCTGACTGCATGATTGAATAACATATGAACTTTTTTGTTTTTTCATTTCAGACACGAAAAACACGCACGACCTTACTTATCACTCCAATAAAGTTTCCTTTTTGTGTTAACTTAGGCTAGTGGAGAGCTAGCATGCAGCATCTTTAGTAACTCAGAGCAGAAGTTTGTTAGCTTACCTTCATAGCTGTGTATGTAGCCGGGCACATACAATACAAGCTTTGTCCATACTAGATTTTGGCAATTCTTTTCTAAAATGAGCTGTTAATTCTTACAACTAAAACCGTGCTTCTATAATTTTTAACTTGCTGATGCAGCATAACAACAAGAACGCCAACTGGCTTGGAGTGTGGGACCAACGCTAAAAAAACTCAAACCAAACAACCAGCTTCTTAGTTCACGTGACTTCTTTAGGCCGCGTGCACTTGTCGTGCCCTTTGATGTGGATCACGTGACCAGACGGAGGTCGGAGGGGGAAAAAACCACAGTCCTGCACACGTTTACCAAATTAAGCTTTAATTAGCTGCTAGCAGACTTCATAAATATGTCCTGTCGTTTCAGTAGGAGGTTGTTTTTGTGGCATTTCTTTTAGGCTGGCTGTCCACATCATGGCGTTTTCCCTGGTGAGTCAAACACAAAAGCGTCAAGTTTAGTTTAAATATTGAAGGTCAAAGGTTAACACTTGAGGGCCTTTACGAATTTCACAAGGAGCAGCCCCTCTGGTAATTCTCCAACAAAAATAAATGGCCCACGCAGAAATAATAGTTAAGTAACTTTGAGTTATCAATAAATGTTCCCAAGAAATTTTCCTGTTTGAATTCGTTTGAAACAGAGAAGCGATGTCCGCAGGCCCGAAAGCCCGGAGACCGACTCTCCAGCGCTGTCCACCTGCAGCAATGCAGACATCTTCCGCAGGATGAACACCATGCTGGGCAACGCTCTGGACTTCACCGGCGTGTGCACCACACCCAACAGCACCAAGCAGAAACCAGACCTGATGTGTGGTAAAGTCCTCCCGATGTGTGTGTGTGTGTGTGATTAGTGTTCAGGCCTCAAATATTATCCCGAGAAACTGATTAACAATAAGCTCATGTAAAATAGGAGAAGTAAAGCATTTAGTCCAAAACAAGCCTCAGCAGTAAAATAACTTTTATTTAATTTTATTTTTTGGCTCATAAATTTCCAACTGTAAAAGTTAAGGTTTTTGTTGTTAAATTAAATGAATAGAGGAAAGAACCCAAAATGAGGCTAATATTTCCCACAATTCCAAAGTTTTTGTGGTATTTGTCAAACGATTGCATCCAGGTTTGTAACGTATTCAAAAATTTGTGCCAAATTAAGTTAATCCAAAGTAGTTTTATTATTGCAAAGTCTCTTCCCGATGCAGCCTTTTTTTTCCCTCATGCTTCATCCTAAACTCTTTGCAGCTTGCCAGCAGCTGATTCATGCTGAATCACTGACCCGCAGCATTGCAGCAATGTGGTTGCTTTTACTCAAGTAGTGAGGTTTGCCAAGAAATAAGCCCAGTATAGAGCCTGCATCCCAGTAGTTCTGCAGTTCCTGGACTTGATGCCACAGCTTCATCTTTAAACACGGCAACAACGGTGTTTTACTTTAAAGAGGAAAGTAAATTTGAGCTCTGCTCTGATCTAAACTTTCACTGGATTCTGCTCGATATTGCTGAATCAGGGGAGTCTGTAGCAGCTGGAAGCGTTCCAGGTGTGATGGAGGGGAGGAGCTGGCGGTGCAAGTCGGCTTCGTCACGAACATCTGATCAGTCAGCTGATTCAGATGCAGCAAGGCTCTGCATGCTTGTTTCATCAGTTTTAGTAAAAAAAATAGTCACAAAACACTGATTGTTTAAAATGTTCCAGAGGATCTTAAGAGTCTAAAGTACTTTTAACAGTCTGCTGAGTCATGCACTCATGCTACCGCCCACCATGCTGCTGTAGTTCTGCCCCTCGACTCCTCCACCTCCCTCCCCTCCTGCCTCTCTCAGCTTGCTCAGGAAACCAGGCTAGACGGTGAGCAGCACCAGCACTATCAGTGGCAGCTGTCGTCCCACTTCTCAGACGTGAGCCGCCTTCCAGAGAGGGAGGACTTCCATCGAGCCCAAGGCTTTGACAGGAATTTTTCATTACACAGTTGTTAGACAGGGGGGTGGTGGGGGCTGATGTCATTAGCTGGGGTGTGTGAGTGCATCAGCAGCCATGTCACATGCTGCTAGGTGGGTCAGTGATGCGGACGGAGATGCATGGCAGTTGCACCAGGCACAGAGGCAGCAGGTTAGCCGGGTAGTGAGGTGGTGAGGGGCAATGTTTCTTTTTAAATTGGTTCTTTTCGAAAACTGTTTGCCGACCTAATTCTGTCATTATTTTTCTAACACGGACTGATACAACACTTTCTAACACTTCTCCTTTTTCTATTTGGTACACCATCTGTTAACTGGATCCAAAAGAGTCGGAGTTGGCTGCAGTGGGCAGCAGGAGGATGCTGTTTCCCAACTGTGGAGGTATTCCCAGCCCCCAGGACATGCCTTCATCACGGGGCTCTTCGGACGTCTCGGACCTGGGCCTTGGCCTCCAGTCTCTCCGTCTGTCTGGATGGGACAGACCATGGAGCAGCCAAGAGTCTGACACGCATACCCCCCTGTCCCAGGTTCAGACTAACTCGTCCTCCAGTAAGTACCAAATGTCTTCTGTTCACCAGTCAGGTTGGATGTTTTCAGAAAGTTGTAGCTGGCTTTTTATGACCCAATTTACCTAAAACCTTCAGTAATGTTGGACTGGTTCACATCACTCTACTGGGGCTTTTTTTGAGTAAGAGCAGGCTGTTGCATTAGGAAGGATGATGTGGCACTTTTGCTTTGCTGTCTACCAGAGCACGACACAAGCCTGAGCTGCTCTGTTCCTTTCCTGTCCCTGTCAAAACAGTGGGACAAAACTTTGATCATTATTTTGATGTGGAGTTGAGTTTTGGAAGAGAATAGAGTTCCAACATCTGTTTTGATAAAACTACATGTCTTCAGAGAGGTACCACCAAACTACAAGGTTTTCTCGCATGTTTCTGACCCCGTTTGGCTGCAGTAAATCCCTAAACCAAGCTGGTTAAACTTCATTTAGAGGTGTCAGAACTGGGCCTGAACTAAAGTGGGACGGGGCTTTGAATGCAGCCCACAGCGGAATAATCCCCTCCTGTTAACTATAACAAACCAGTACATACCTGTTACTGGTGCCAGCTGACTGTATATCAGAGTATCCCTGAAGGAACTCCGGTTTGGTAACACTTGCTGTGGTAAATTGGTTTTAAGATTGTAAAGTTGGAACATTCTTTTCCAAAAGAATCTCTTCCATGTGGAATAGTGTTTTGGATCCATCTCCTCGTCGTTTGGCTCATTTTCTAAATATATTTGAGTTGGAAAGATGGAATGTTGAGAAACTTATTCCTTCAGCTCGTCGGGCGACAGATCAATGCCGCCTTGTAGACTCGGCATGCACATAACTTTTTCTTCAACTTGCTCAGCTAGCAGAATTAACCCTGTACACGAGCTTTCTTGGTAACACTGTAAATGTTGTTTTCCTCAGTGCTGGGTTTGCTGAACAGTCCCTTCAGTAGCATCCTTGGTAAACCCCCTGGGTGTTTGCCCCACGACTCCATGAGCATGACTGCTGACTTCCTGGAGAAATTTCCAGGCATGGCTCGGATGGCTAACAGACTAGACTCCAGCTCTTTTTTGGACTCTCGCTCCAGCAGTCCTCAGGACTCCGAGACCAGCGGCATCAGCTCTGGCTCGGACCACATCTGTGATATGCTGGTAAGACGCGTGCTTCAGTTCCTGTTTGTTGGCTCATTCTGGTGAGGGACACTGGTTACTTCTAACAGCTCAGTTTAGTGTGTAATGGCACTAGCCAGTAAGTCTACAGCTCTAAGCTAAGTTTGGGTGTTTGAATTTGAACAATTCCAGCTTTGACTCAACCTATCAATTCTTGACAAGAGGCAGGATCCAAGATCTCTACTTGTTTTATGAGCCAGCTAATCATATGTCTTGATAAAAAGGTCTTAACTTCTCCATGAATTTTAAAAAGCTTCTTGAATGGGAGCTCAAATGTCTTTAAGATAACATGAGTCTGTTTTCATTTAAAACTCTGGTAGATCATGTCCAGGATGACTAAGAATTTACAGTTATGTCTTGATTAAAAGTAAAACTGAAACACTTAGTCACAGCTATTGGTAACTAACATAAAGTATTAAAAGCTCAACAGGCTAAATGGTGCAGAAAAGCATGAAATCTAACAAATTGGCATGTTAGATCACCAGTGTTGGGCAAGTTACTTCAAAACTGTAATGAATTATTTGTTACCCTCATTTTAAAGTAATTAATTACATTACAATATTACTGATTTTGAAATGTAAGACATTACACTACTTTTGCATTACTTTAAGTTACTTTCACCAAAACAACTTCAATATGAATCTGGTAATCTGACGCTCAGTGAGCTCATGACATATATGTGGAAAGTGATGTGGTGTCTGAGCTAGGATTGCTGTTAAAAACAGTCCGATATAATAACAGGGCTTTAAAATGATTGTTTATTAAATAAAAGCAACAACAATCTGTACTCAACATGCTGCCGTCTTATATTAACTGAGCAGGGAGTGAGGTGGTGGGGGCTCCAAGCCTATATTTGCCTTGGTCCCCAAATGCCTTGATACGGCCCTGGATGTGGGACTGACTTCTGGGGTGATCTGATTCTATCACATGTATAAATATTAAATGCTTATATATTATTGCTTTTCACTGGTAAAAATGTGTATTGGGGATAAATCTACCTACTTTTTTCTTTTCAAGCACTTTGTTTTGTTTTCTTGATTTTATTTGAATAATTTCTGGCCCTTTCTCTCTCTAACCTCCCTGCATGCTGCATGTTTTCTCCGTCTTCCAGAAAAACTGTTTCCTAGATTTCCTACGTTCTAACTAATCAGCCAAAGGGATCTACTGAACGCAAAACACAAAAAGCTTAATATGCGCTGCGCTCCAGCAGCAATGAGTTGAAATCACCGGCGCACAGATTATGAACTCTGCTGAAAAGTACATGAAGTACCAGAGAATATGGGCTGATATAAACAATCGCAAACTAATTACTTGGTTTTGGTGGAGCGATTTTGTGAATATAACAGCGGCCGCGCGCAGGACGCAGCTGGAGTATTTGAGCCGTTACCGCTGCGTCCTCTCTGCTCATAGAATGCCGCAAAGCGGAGTCCATAAGTGACATAATATATGTAGATACTGGATCTTTTTTCAGGCTTCTTGCAATTTGAATTTTTAGGAAACCCACATCTTGATTCTGGGTTTAAAAATGCATTGTAATTACTGACAATTGTACCAAGTAAATATTACCATTTTCTTTCCCCGTAATGCCTTACATTACCACATTACAGCAAAAAGCAATGCATTACAGTAATTAATTTTGTACCGCGTTACTCCCAACACTGTAGATCACTAGAGGCACGACTAATTTTTCAGGTTATTTGCTTTCTGACTTTCACTGTGGAATTGTTATCATTAAATCCACTGTTGTGTTTAATGAACTTCCTCTGCAGAGTTGTTGCAGGATGCAAAGTTTACATCACTCTTGAGTAAAAGTTCTGCGGACATGTGTTTACATTTTTGCCGCTGCACATGTGCGGTAAGAAGGAATTTAAAGAGATGTGACGCTGCACACCTCTGCAGGCTGTCAAGTGTAAGAGACAGTTGATCCGTGCTGAAATGCAACGTTGGGTTATTTTCCACAGGGACCGGCAGCCAGAGACCAACTTTAACATACCTTAACACATGTTACATGGTTGCGCAGCAGCACAAACGCTTCTGGCAGATTCTTCTCGCTGGGATTTGGTGGCATCTTCTTCCAGTTGGTGGACTGGGAATCAAAATTAAAAAAAATAAATAAAAAGATAATTAAACACAGGAAAAACTACTTGGTCCTGGTTCCAATCGATGTTCGATGCTCGGTACTAGCTGCTGCTGCAGTATTCAAATAGTTTGAAACGGATTGGCTTCTGCTGGAAATTGCTAGCCTAGTGAACTAGACCAAATTCTTGCTTTGCAAAGTTTGCAAAGTTAAATAATACATTTCATTAGTCTGGCTTGCCAGGCTAGGGAATTGCATCTGCAAATGCCAGTTGTGCTATTGGTTTTTAAAATTGTAATCTGTTGACCATTGCATTTTATTTTATCTTGGTATTTGTGCACTTTTGAGCTTTTTATAAAACTGCTGGTGATGCTTTTTGTTTCCATCTTGGTCAGTTGATGCACCATAAACCTTGTTGCCAATGTCTGGCTTTTAAATGCAAAGAATTAGGGGTGTGAATCCAACAACTCATGATTCAATTCTGATTCTCAGGGTCAAGTTTATATTCATTCATTCAATCTATTCTCTATTCCATCGATACTCATACGAACAAAAGGATGATCTACTTAGGTTTGAAATTTAAGTGTCTGTGATGTAGCGGGCCACGAATGTGATGGCTTCCTCTGGAGGTCCATGCATCACTTGCAAGAACGATGCAACGGAAGCCTTTGACTGAAAGGGTACTTGCAGGGAATAAGCTAGTAAATGCTTGGAAATGCCTTAGCTAATGAAACTTGGAAAATCTTTTCCAGCATTGCCACAAAGTATGAAGGTCAAATAATGGTTCAGCATTACCGACTCTAAAGATTTAAACTCATCAGATTTATGACGGCTTCAATCCGATCTGAAAAAGGAATTGTGAATATTCTGCAAGGCAAATTCAACTATCTTAGAAGCAGCTTCATCCCTTTTAGTGCATTTTCTCATTTCAATTCCCAACATCACTTTAGATTGAGGTGTACTCTCTGGAGATGAATGGGAGTTGGGGCAATCTCCTCATGCCCATGTACTCGGCTGAAAGGTGGTTCTGTCTGCTGAAGAGGTGACTTTAGTCGGTTGACATATTGGCAAAATAATTGCTCACAAAGCACGTTAGGAAATTGCTCTGATTGCACACTTGGTACATCCTCATCAGAGCTTTAATTAGTCTGCAGATGTCAGTTCACTGCTGAAGGTGCTTTTTAGTTCTAGTTCTTCCTGCACGCATTCGGAGAATAAAACTTATGGCTGTCATCTTTGTGCAACACATAAATGGTAGGTTTAAACAAGGATATGACCTTTATTCCTAATCCTACTCCAGTTTAACTTATTTGTATGTTTACTTCATGCATTATGGGTTTAAGGATGCACATGTATATACGGGCAAGTAACATGTGAGAAATGACAAAAAGTAATTCATGTTTTGTGAACCCCAGGAGTAAATGTTTGGCAGGTTTTGATTGAATTATTGTGGCAAGTGACCTTGTTTTTAAAAGGACTTATTTTTAAAACCATTTTCTCAATGCAGCTTGTCCTTTTCTATCTGAATTTCTGTTTAAAGCAGATATCTGATGTACCAAATTTTAGGCACGTTCACATTCTTAATGGAAAACTGTTTTAATAAAGTTTTTCATTCGCTGGTAACTGATGAATACGTTTTTCTGCAGTCCACCCTGCGGATTTCCCCTCCCCTGCCATACCTGTCCAACATGCAGAAGGACTTGCTGAGGCTGGGCTCCCGTCTTGACCCCCAGAATTCTAGCACTCCGTTGACCCCGCCATCCAGCTCCATCCTTGCCTCCTCAACCATTTCCCGCCGCTGGCGCTCTGGCTCTTCGTGGCCGGGTTCGGAGCTACTGGACCAGTCGGACGATGCGTTCAGCATTGAGAGAGAGGCCCGGCTGCACAGACAGGCTGCGGGTATGTTTGCTTTACATTCGGATGGCTTTCTGACTCTTACCTTGACCCAAATTTGACATCTCTAACTACTCTTGCCTACTACAGCTGTGAATGAGGCCTCATTCACTTGGAGTGGACAGCTGCCTCCCAGAAACAACAAGGATCCCATTTACTCCTGCAAGGTCTTTCTAGGTGGTGTGCCCTGGGACATCACAGAAGGTATCTGGTGCTGCTCAGTTACCTGAGCTTATCCAACTTTAATTTTTTGCTGCACAGCTTTTAACAAACCTCCACTTTATCCAAATAATGAAGGTTGACATGCTTCAAGAAGTTTTAAATCAGAGTGAGTAAATGAACTCTGACGTAACTGCATAAAGAAAGCAAAGATCAAACCTGATTACAAGTGTTGGAGGGAATTTATGGAGTTGTTTTAGCCTTCAAACTAAAATTATGGATTTATGTATTCAAATGTCCATCTCTGCTCCCTCATCTCTTGTTTCAGCTGGTCTGATCAACACCTTCAGTGGCTATGGCCCTCTGACTGTTGAGTGGCCAGGTAAGGATGGGAAGCACCCCCGCTGCCCTCCTAAAGGTAATGTGGCTAAAGGTAACAACGGGCTGGTAGGCTTTTTTTTTTCTTCCTGGTTTTAAGGGGTCACTGTGGTGAGCACCTGGGTTTAACTGGTTCTGGACTCGTCCAGTGGTGATTGTGGGCTCAGACCATGGTGCTAGAGGCAGGTACAGGGCTTCTGTAGAAGTTCTGGTTGTAATGGGTTGGAGACCTTGAGGTTTCCTGGTCCCCCCCCCCCCCCCCCCCCCCCCAAAACCTTTAGATTTTGTTCGACACGTCAATTTTATTTTGTATTTAATTGGTTTTACTTGATCTTCATTTCAGATTAATGCAGTTGTGAAATTCATGAATTTTGACTTGAAACACAATGTTGTCTCAAAAGATGAAAAAGTCCTGCCATCTCTTCCCTGAAGATGTTTATAGGTTGTTTCGATCTGGTGCCATGGTGTTTTCAGCAGATGTGAATTAAGAGTTTTCTACCTGTGACCTAACTGAGTTTACTTTTGTCTGTAGGCTATGTTTACCTGGTGTTTGAGAATGAGAAGTCTGTGCGGGCTTTGCTTCAGGCATGCTCCCAGGATCCTTTTCACCCAGAGGACAACAGGGAATACTACTTCAAGATGTCCAGCCGAAGAATGCGATGCAAGGATGTGAGTTGATTGACATTCTGAAATTATGGTCTAGATGAGCGATTGACTGCAGGGTGGTGGGACGCCTTCTTGTTGGGTCAGGTTATTTACTAGTCTCTCCTAGTCCTCTGGAGGGGGAAGGCAGAGTGTGGGCAGTCCGTTTCTCTGTAGAGAAGCAAATAGACTTGTTTCCCTCTGAATGTTGGAAAATTTTGTGCTTTCAACTAAGGCAGCTGATTTGGGGAGGCTGATCAAATTCATCATCCTCTTGAGGTAAATGACTCACTAAGCCGATGTGGGACATTCTTGTGAAATGTGACTCCAAGGCAGCTTCTTTCAATTCAAGTTTGTTTATATAGTGCCAATTCACGACAAGAGTTGTCTCAAGGCACTTCACAGTAAACGGGTTCAGTTCATTAAGCCAATCAGTAAAGTTTCCCATATAAGGAACCCAGCAGATTACATTGAGCCACTGACTAGTGTCAGTCTTTACAGCAATCCTCATACTAAGCATGCATGCAGCGACAGTGGAGAGGAAAACTCCCTTTTAACAGGAAGAAACCTCCAGAGGATCCAGAGGATGAGCAGCCATCCACCTCGACTCACTGGGGATTGAGAAGACTGAGTAGACTAGCACCACACACAGCTCATGCAGGGGTCAGCAGACTGCAGCTCTGGAGCCAGATCTAGCTCTGACTTGACTCTTTGTAACAAAGTAAAACTCACATGAACCTTAGAGAAACGATAGGAAATGGTGGTTTTTATTTCATTTTGCCACATATTTCCTCATCTTGTTTCCTCAACAGAAAAGGCTAATGTAAATGTACTGCCAGTGTTGTTGCAGTACTGGAACTAGCTAATGGCTGAGTTTTAACTTAAATGCATTTGTAGCTTTATTTTATTAGCTCGCGCCATTTAAGTTACTTTTGTCTAAATTGAGCATTTGCTGTGAATGCAGAAGTTCTGTAATCTTTTAGAAACTCAGATTTTTTGGGGGGGGGGGCATCAAAACATGATTTATAGAAAGTTGAAGAGGAAAAACTGGAAAAGTACAAAACTCTTTAAAGAGCAAGTCAACCCCTACCAGAGTCTAACTCCACTCCCACTTCATGTTTGAAAAATGCAATAAATGCTGTTGCCTGGCAGACCGAGAGGGCGGAGCTGCTAACAAATACACACACACAGGCTCACAACAGCATTGTGACATCATAATGTACCAGTTTACATCATAGCATACCTCTTAGCCAATAGCGATGGCAGATTTAAATTAGAATACAGTGCAGAGTTTTTACCTGACAACGGCACAACACTGCCAGTTTTAGGCACAATATTTACATTTTAACTAAGATGCATTGAAGTGCCAAATTATTGACGACACGTGTCTGCAGCACGATTAGACACTCGTTTATTTAGTTTATCAGCAAAACAAGTTTATTTGGGGGTGACTTGCTCTTTAAAGTACAGGTGCTGTCTTGAAATTAGAAAATCGTGACATTTTTTAAACAATTCCATTCAAAATGTGAAACTTGTATATTTGTTCATTACAGACAGATTTTTTTTTTTATTTTGATTATAACTGACAATGAAAATCCCATATTTAGAATCTCAGATTATTAGATTATCAATTAAGACCAATGCAAAAAGGATTTTTAGAAATGTTGGCCAACTGAAAAGTATGAGCATGTACAGGTGCTGGCCAGTAAATTAGAATATCATCAAAAGGTTGAAAATATTTCAGTAATTCCATTCAAAACGTGAAACTTGTACATTATATTCATGCAATGCACACAGACCAATGTATTTCCAATGTTCATTACATTTAAATTTGATATTCATAAGTGACAACTAATGAAAACTCCAAATTTGGTATCTCAAAAAATTAGAATATTCTGAAAAGGCTGAATATAGAAGACACCTGCTGCCACTCTAATCAGCTGATTTACTCAAAACACCTGCAAAGGCCTTTAAAAGGTCCCTCAGTCTTGTTTTGAAGGCACCACAATCATGGGGAAGACTTCTGACTTAACAGCTGTCCAAAAGACAATCATTGACACCTTGCACAAGGAGGGCAAGACACAAAAGGTGATTGCTAAAGAAGCTGGCTGTTCGCAGAGCTCTGTGTCCAAGCACATTAACAGACAGGCGAAGGGACGGAAAAAATGTGGTAGAAAAAAGTGTACAAGCTCTAGGGATAACCGCACCCTGCAGAGAATTGTGACGACAAACCCATTCAAAAATGTGGGGGAGATCCACAAAGAGTGGACTGCAGCTGGAGTCAGCGCTTCAAGAACCACCACGAGGAGACTCATGAAAGACATGGGATTCAGGTGTCGCATTCCGTGTGTCAAGCCACTCTTGAACAAGAAACAGCGCAAGAAGCGTCTCGCCTGGGCCAAGGACAAAAAGGACTGGACTGATGCTGAGTGGTCCAAAGTTATGTTTTCTGATGAAAGCAAGTTCTGCATTTCCTTTGGAAATCAAGGACCCAGAGTCTGGAAGAAGAGCGGAGAAGCACAGAATCCACGTTGCATGAGGTCCAGTGTAAAGTTTCCACCGTCAGTGATGGTGTGGGGTGCCATGTCATCTGCCGGTGTTGGCCCACTCTGTTTCCTGAGGTCCAGGGTCAATGCAGCCGTCTACCAGGAAGTTTTAGAGCACTTCATGCTTCCTGCTGCTGACCAACTTTATGGGGATGCAGACTTCACCTTTCAACAGGACTTGGCACCTGCACACAGTGCCAAAACCACCAGCACCTGGTTCAAGGACCATGGTATCCCTGTCCTTGATTGGCCAGCAAACTCGCCTGACCTTAACCCCATAGAAAATCTATGGGGTATTGTGAAGCGGAGGATGCAATACGCTAGACCCAACAATGCAGAGGAGCTGAAGACGACTATCAGAGCAACCTGGGCTCTCATAACACCTGAGCAGTGCCACAGACTGATCGAGTCCATGCCACGCCGCATTACTGCAGTTATTGAGGCAAAAGGAGCCCCGACTAAGTATTGAGTGCTATACATGCACATTCTTTTCATGTTCATTCTTTTCAGTTGGCCAACATTAGAGAAACAAACATTTTTTCATTGGCCTTTAGAATATTCTAATTGTCTGAGATACCAGATTTGATGTTTTCATTGGTTGTCACCTATAAATATCAAAATTAAACGTAATAAACATCGGAAATACATTGGTCTGTGTGCATTGCATGAATATAATGTACAAGTTTCACGTTTTGAATGGAATTACTGAAATATTTTCAACCTTTTGATGATATTCTAATTTATTGGCCAGCACCTGTACAGCACTCAATACGTATTTAGTTAAGGCTTCTTTGGTATGTTCTTGCTGTGTCCATTTTCCAGTTCTATTTTGGTTCTTTTTTTTTTTTTAAAACAAAAGGTTATTTTACCTTGCCGAGTTTCGTTTGCCGACTGCAAAACTTCCGCTGATGGTGGCGTCACTTCCTACTCTGACAACGTCCTCTGCTGCCCGCGGATTAACGTTTATATTGCTTGTGCACTTTATTTTTTTTACCACATCTTGTCCTTCCCTTCACCTCTACTAATGTGCTTGGACACAGAGCTCTGAACAGCCAGCCTCTTTAGCAACGAACTTTTGTGTCTTGCCCTCCTTGTGCTAGGTGCCAATGGTCATCTTTTGGACAACTGTCAAGTCGGCGGTCTTCCCCATGAATATGTAGCCTACAGAACTAGACTGAGACCATTTAAAGGCTTTAGCAGGAGTAAAGTTAATTAGCTGATTAGTGTGGCACAAGGGGTCTTCAGTGTCAAACCTTTTCACATTCTAATATTCTGAGATACAGAATTTAAGATTTCCTTTATCTGTTCTAATAATCAAAGTTAAAGAAATTAACATTTGAAATATCAGTCTGTGTGTAATGAATGTAATGTAAAAGTTTCACTTTTGGAACTTTGTCATGATATTCTAGTTTTGAGTTTTTTCCTTAAGGCACCATCCAGTTCCAACAGTGTTGTCGTAAATAATACTATACATTAAACTTTGTCTATAAGCTGAATCCTCTGTCTTCCGCTGCAGGTGCAGGTGATACCCTGGGTGATCTCTGACAGTAACTATGTGCGCTGCCCTGCCCAGCGTCTGGACCCTAGTAAGACTGTGTTTGTTGGTGCACTGCATGGCATGTTGAATGCCGAGGCGTTGGCCAGCATCATGAATGACCTGTTCGGAGGAGTCATGTATGCTGGCATTGACACGGATAAGCACAAGTATCCCATAGGTAAAGTTGCTGCTAGTGTTTAGTGTCTGGGGCAAACTTGAGTGTTTGGATTCTTGTTCGACTTGAACATAAGCTCTACTTGTGCAGGCTCCGGACGTGTCACCTTCAACAATCAACGCAGTTATCTGAAGGCTGTGTGTGCTGCGTTTGTTGAGATTAAGACTCCCAAGTTTACAAAGAAGGTAATGGGATGCGTTTATGGCTTTAATTTGATACGATGGCCAACTGAATGCTGTGACATTTCCTTCAGGTTCAGATCGACCCATACCTGGAGGACTCCATGTGTCAAGTTTGCCTCCGTCAGCCTGGACCTTTCTTCTGCAGAGACCAGGTCAGTGATAAATCAGAAGCATGCTTGGCATTGGTGTGATTCTTGTGTCTTAAAGGAGAGGGCTCTGAAAATGTGTTGGTTCTAATGGAACAAAGCTCGGACCCATTTTAGTAGAGTAGGAATATAGTTCAGTTACTTTTGACATTAAGCATATTTGACCTAGATACTTAATTAGGTGCAGCTGTGATCTGATCAGCCACTTGGTAGCACCGGTCCTTGTACTGAATGAAGCCTGCATTGAACTTGACTGCAGAAATCATAGAAATTGGACATTATTGCCAAGCAATATAAGAAAATGCTAAATCCTTTCATTGCAGATGTGATTGAGGGCATTGAAAGTGAGTCTGTTGCACTGAGTCTCTTAGGTTTTTCACTTTAAAGATGCACTTCAGAAGAAGTTTAACTATTATAAATTGGAGTTGTTTGTGCAGAGTTGCATGTGGTGGCTTAGGGTTGTCACGGTAACCGGTGTAGCGGTAAACCCTGGTAAAAAAGTTGACAATGATAATAACAGTGTTTTTTTAAAATATATATCGGTGGATTACCGTAGGCGCGGTGACCCTTACCAGCCGTATCATCTGCTGAAGTTGCCGGTGGCACATGCGCACTTTGTTGTTAACAACCAAAACTTTCTTGAATCTAAAGCTGAAATAAAGGCCAAAGGAGGAGACGGCAGCGCTCAGGACACTTATCATCCCTCAAAGACAGTCGGAAGTGCAGGCACTTTTTGGATATTTGAAGAATGCCGAGGGACAGTTGATAGAAGACGGCTATCCTGTTTGCAGCACGTGCAGAAAAAGTGTCTGAAGGCAGCAAAGCTTCAAATCTCATGACACATGTGCGTGACCATCACCCACAACTCTACAGTCAACGCAAGGCAAGCTAACGTTAGCGTTTTAGCTAAAAATGCGTGATCCGAGGATTTGGGTTGAGGGAGAATGCAACGAGTTGCTATATAAAGCAGCCGCAGCGCTGCTACCTGCATATAAACAGTGTCGCGGACACCCCCATGTTGAAATGACGCTATATTGGCATTTTAAAGACTAAAGGGGAAATATGTAAACAAATAAACAACATGATTACAAAATGACACATTTTAGGCAAAATTGAGACACAATTTGAGGACAATATTTTCCTGATATACAGGGTTTATTTAGTTGTTTGAAAATGTAACACGTTTAAAAAAAAATACCGCGATAATACCGAAAACCGTGATAATTTTGGTCACAATAACTGAGGTTAAATTTTCACACCGTGACAACCCTAGTGGCAGTACATAAATGAGCACCCATAAGAAATTTAACTTAAAATCAAGAGAATTATTTTCTCAATACATTTTAACAGATGGCGCTTATTTGCTGCTTGAATAACTATAAATCTATTTAGATTTGATTGACCTTTAGCAGTAAAATAAACTTATAAGTTGAAGGTGACATGCATTCTAAGTTTCTGATCTTATACCAGGCCTGCTTCAAGTACTACTGCCGCTCCTGCTGGCACTGGCAGCACTCGATGGACATCTTGAGCAACCATCGGCCCCTCATGCGCAACCAGAAGAACAGGGACTCCAGCTAGAGCAGAGGGATCTAGACACTCTGCAGGGTCAGAGGAGGAGCCTCTACAGAGCGAGGCTGCCCGCCGGCGAGAGCACGGGTGTCGGGCGTCCCTCGGTATGGGGGCACTGTGGCACTCCACCAGGCACTGGGGTTTTCACTGTAGAAAATGTTCACTTTTGCACTTGCTACTTTTTTGCTGTTCACAGTGGCACTATGCACAGTGACCTTGTTGGGAATAAACAAGGGGCCCTTCACACTAAAAGCATTTTCTCAGACTTGTGGCCAGACAAAGTGAGAGTCAGCCTAACGTTATGAGGTGGACGAAAATGCCCTTTGTTTTGATTATTTTTGTTTAAATGTGTTGCATAGTGAAGAGCAATCACGCAAGTCTCATTGCCATTCATTGGCAAATGCCATACAGTGCCTTTAAATTTTTATTTTTTCCCCTCTTCCCTCCCCTTATGCCAGTTGGCACCAGTTTTCCTGTACAAGCCAACTGGTTTCTTACTTTTGGGAGTTGAATGTTGGGCTTCATTTAACCAGTCGCATTTCAGACATTTTTACGCAGTTTTTTACTAATTTGTACACAAACGGTTTTAAGTCATAACATGAAAATTTTGAACAATTATATAAGGTGGCTGTTGATGGGAAACCCCCCTTTTTATTTTTTCTTCATACATTTCAGTGGCTTTTTTTATTTGCCTTTCCGTATTTCAGCTGAATGGGCACAAAATGTTGGATGTAATACTTCTGCTCACTTTGATCCAGTTATTAAATATTCATCAGTACTAGTGCGTCAATTGGTAATCCACTGCTTCTAGAGCACTCAATAGATCCCATTTGAAACTGGAGTCATTTGACTGTTTACTTTATTCCCTTTCCCCCCACATTTTAATTTGCACGTGTGGAGAGGTGGCAGTGGTTTTTAATCACTTTTGTACATTGATGGGGGACATGCCTGTTAAACCTGCTGCTTGTTTCCTGTTTGATGTAAGAACTTCCACTTAGCTGATTAACTATCCAGAACTTGAGTAGACCCCCCCCCCCCCCCCCTCTATAAATGATCCCCTCATTCTTATGCCATTTAACCTTCCTGTTCCAGTTGGATGTAAATGCATACGTTGTGTGCCAAAGACGAGTGTCTTTCTTTATTTGTTAGGTTTGTCATGCTGAGCTTGTTGTCTTTTAGCCCAGCTGCTTTTTAGAGTTTTGAAAGTCTACCTCATTGTGGTCTGCCAAGTTTGCTGCTACTTAATTGTGGAGTATGTTCAGATTGGGCACAATAAAGGTGTTTAAGCATTAAGATGTCTGGGCTCCAAATGGTTTGTTATTTCAGATGTGCATTTAAGCTTTTCAGTTTTACATTGGTATTGATTCTTTATACAGATCAGGATGGTCTTGTTCTATTTCAGTTTTGCTTTAGCTGACCTAATTCACTTGAACATGAACAAAAACAAAGATGATTTTAGACTGCAGAAGAAACAGGGTGGAGTCAAACACTGCACCATGGGAGAAGTGGAGGTGATTGAGGAATACAAATACCTTGGAGTTCACCTGGACAACAGACTGGACTGGAGAAAGAACAGCGAAGCCGTTTACAAGAAGGGACACAGCAGACTGCTCTTCTTGAGGATGCTTAGGTCCTTCAATGTCTGTAGCAAGATGCTGCAGATCTTCTAAAAGTCTGTTGTTGAGCCATCGTCTGTTGGGGTAGTAGCATCAGAAACGGGGACCTGAAAATGCTCAACAGCCTAATAAAAAAGGCTGGTTCTGTTCTGGGGACGACTGTGGAACCACTGGAGGAGATAATGCAAAGAAGAATTCTCCAGAGAATCAAGAAAATGATGGACAACCCTGAGCATTCTCTTCACAAGACTGTCCGACAATGGAAGTGTCTTCAGTCAGAGGCTTCTTCAGTTTCGCTGCAACACTGACCGCTACTGGAGATCCTTCCTGCCAACAGAAATTGTAATATACAATAACTCTTTGATGTAGTAGCTCAGAATAAGTCATCAATTTCCCTCTGGGATTAATAAAGTATTTTTGAATTGAATTTAATTATCCATGGTCGAGACTATTTCACCTTATGACATTATGCATCTGAATTTCAGTGGATCTCTTTGAATGTAGCAAGTTCTGACAAATCTTGACCGCTTAAGTTTTAGAAAACATTTTCTTAATGGGCAGACTGTGAAACTGGGCCTCTCGACTAAGGCTGTTGCCCCCACGACCAGACTCCAGAAAAGTGGAAGAGAATGGATGGATGGATGGAAACTTTGAAACTAATTTTGGCTTTTGTACTTGGAACTGGCTGTCAAAGTGTGCTGTATGAAAGCTAAAACTGCAAAGTCTACTTTAAAGTTTCAGTTCTAGAACATACATTAGATGTATAAATGGGAAAAGGTGTAAGACAAATCAAAGCATTGTAAAATTGTACAAGTTACTGTTAATGTGGCTATTGTCAACTTTTTTTCATAAACACCCAAGACCATCTCAAGTAATGTGTTCACAGAACATTCAACACATCAGTTAATTGAATACCCATCCTCCAGAGAATGTAGCCTGGCTTGCCAGACTTGTCCTGCTTAATTCTGCACAGAGGACGAGTCTGGCAGGCGAGGCTAGAGATTAACAGGAAATAATTTAAGTGTATTTGCAGTTTTTCTCCATTGGTTTGGCTCATTTCTTGAAACAGAAATTACATTTTCAAACCTCTAAGATCATTTGGCTTAACACTTAGTTTTGCACAACACTATAGATCACCTGCAAAAGCGAACATCTCTTCCAAAACTGTTCACTCATGCTTCAGTCTAAATCCATTTCTCATTTAAACAGTGTCTCCAAATTGGCAAAGATCCTTCTCAATAGCTTTGGCTCATTTCTCGACACATCGGACATTCTCATCATTCTTGGTGCTTTCGTCAAAATAAACCTGGATGGTTGATCACATGGTTTACCTGCAAAAGCTCATATCTCCCCTAAAACAGTTTACTCATGTGTCAAAACTACATTTCTTTCTAATCTGAATAGTCAGTGCCCCCAAAATGCATTGTCCCTTTGGCATTGTGTGAGTACTGCCAAACAAAATGTTTAGATGTTTGTCACTATGACAGAGGACCAACAATATACAACCGAAAAGAGTAGCCTCCAAGGTTTGACATCAGAGATTGCACTCACACTACCAAGGAAACTATACCCATTTTTATTCACACGCAAAGAAAGTTTCATACATATGTAAAAAGAAAATCTACATTTTCTTCCTCTTCCTTGAGGAAGAACTTCCCCTTGTCAATTTGCTTGGCCATGTCTATCCATGTTCAGAGATCGGACTTCTTCAATGAATTTAGGCAGGCTGGACACCTAAAAGGCATATTGCTGCCAAAACAGGGGCGGATCTACAAGGGTGGCATAGGGTGGCAATTGCCACCCTAAAAGAAAGCCTTGCTACCCCTGCTGCCACCTCAGCTGGCAGCTATAAATTCAAGAAAAATCTAAGTTTTTCAACTCTCAGGCTCATAAAGACCTATTTGCAGTCTGCTTTGACAGAGAAAAGACTATGAAGCTAGGCTGTACTCAGCATTGAATCAAAACGGGAAAAATCTTTGGATCTTGATGAATGTGTAAATTGTTTTGCTGAGCAACATGGAAACTGCCGCATTCAGCTGTTGTAGGAAGGACATAATTTCATTATGTGTTTTATTTTCGTGATGGGCCTGTAAGCTTATTAAACGAAGACCCAAAACAAATGAATATGTAAACACTGGGAAAAGAAAAAGGAAAACGTGTTTCTGAGTGAACAATAAAACCAAAGTACAATATCTTGTTGCAGTGAAATATTATATATATATATATATATATATATATATATATATATATATATATATATATATATATATATATATATTTTCATATATATATATATATATATTTTCATATATGTATTGCCACCCTAGAAAAATGTTTGCCCCTCTTCTGCCACCCCATAAATAATTTTGTAGATCCGCCCCTGTGCCAAAACAACCACCCTCACTGCTGAGTCTGCACAACCCATCACACACAACAAGCACACGAACACTCCCCACCCTGTACACCACTCACCCACCGCCAACATAACACCCCCCTTCCCCCCAACACACACCCCTACCCCACAGGGAGGCTTACCCCACGCTCATTCCCCCTCCCTCATCAACATCCACCACCTTGGGCAACTCTCGGTCCCCTGTAGACCTAGAGCTCCCAGTCCCCCGCAAGCACGTAGTCCCCCAAACTTCCTCAGGTGACACGTCACCGAAGCCCAGAAAGGCCCCTGTAGCCAGTCACCTCGCGGGCCACATCGGACACATTTGATGCCACATGCTTCACCCTCTGTTCGTAAAACTAGAAACGTAACTTACATTTTATTTACCGTCAGAAGGCGGGAAATTGCCCAACCCCATCCCAGCTCTCTGATTGGCTGAGAGATTTCAATCATCTTCTAGCTAAATTAAAGTACACACCCACACATATGATAAATCAAATTGATCATCTTGGTCTAATGAATCCATCCATCCATTCATTACACAATCTGAGCATATGTTAATTTATCTGTTTCAGATATCAGCAAGTTTCTAAATTCACAGTTCAGCTAATTGTGAAATTTTTACTATTAAACTATTCTTACTCAAATGCCAGGTGTGTAAACATTAACTGTCTAGTTTTTAAACAATGTTCAAAGATTTCAGTTTTCTGTTTAGCATTTTTTTTTTGTGCCATTCTTCACCTACATTATGAGCTTCATTACACTTTTTTTCAGCTACTCAGCAGCTTCAGCAATCCGTTTCTGAATTCGGCTTATGCTGCTCATTTCGCAGTTCAACTAAATATGAAAATTAAACTGTTAAACTAGTCCTACTCAAACAAGTGTTTAAGACATTTTTGCTGTCCAGATTTTTAAATAATGTTCAGATTTCAGTTTTCTGCTGTTCTGGATTGTTTTCTCCGTTCAGTTTTTGTGCTTTATTTACATCTTGGTGCTTTTAGCTTCTAAATCTTTCAAATCATTCAGCTCATAACAGTTTTGCTTAGTTTCAGCTTCACTTGAGCTATTCAGGAGATTCAGCAATTAGTTTCTGAATTCAGCATATGATGCCAATTTCACAGTTCAGCTAAATGTAAAAATTAAACTGTTAAACTAACCCTACTGAAATAACAGGTGTTTAGACATTTTAGCTGTCCAGTTTTTTTAACAATGTTGACAGATTTTAATTTTCTGCTGTTTTGGATTAGTTTTCTCCATTCTTCACTTACTTTTTGTGCTTTGCTTGTTGCTTTCACATCTTTCACTACATTCAGCTCATTTGACAGTTTAGCTTAATTTCAGCTTACTTCAGCAATCAGTTACAAAATTCAGCATAAGCTGCTAATTTCACAGTTCAGCTAAATGTAAAGATTAAACTGTTAAACTTGTCCAACTAAAATAACAGTTGTTGAGACATTTTAGCTGTCCAGATTTTTATACAATGTTCAGATTTCAGTTTTTTGCTATTTAGGATTATTTTTCTCCATTCTTCACTTTGTGCTTTATTTGCTTGTTAGTGCTATTTGCTTCTACATCTTTCAATACTTTCAGCTCATTTTGACAGTTTTTCTTAAGCCTGATTTATGCTTCTCCGTCTGCATCAGCGCGGAGACACGCAACGCCATTATCTGTCCTTGCGTAGGGCTCCGGCAGGCACGCAAGTACGTACGGAGTCGAGCCCACTTTTTTAAACATCTGTCGAACGAGACGGATTACGCAAGCTTGTGATTGGTCAGGGCGCTGCTGTTGTCTACAGCGCTGCTATTGCGCCCTCAAAAACATTAAGAGAGCCGAGGATAACTAGCGGCAGACACGGAGAAGCTTGAAGAATACCTCGCGAAAAAACTCTAAAAACATGAACATTTAATTCCCCGTGACTGGAGGAGTGGAAAGATGCGCAGCAAGCGTTTTATTTGTGGATGGAAATGACAGGAAACGTGGGTTTAGAGGTGGGGAGTGCATGAAGTGGAGGAGAATGAGAGACAAATATGTCCATGTTAAAAGTCTCTTATATACACAAAAAACACAATATAAACACACTATCTTGGACCGATACATGACAGGATACCACAGAACAGCGCTACGCCCTCTGTGGTCCTGCCGGGCAATTGCTTTGCAACACTCTCCAGGAGACGGAGAAGTATGAGAGCAAAACGCTTCCGTCAATCCGTGCGTGTCTGTCCCTTGCGGAGCTGACGGAGAAGCATAAAGCTTTAGTTTCAGTTTCAGTTCAGCTGCTCAGCTGTTTCAGCTATCCAGTATTTAAACAGCATTTCTGCAAGAAATGCAAATTTTTCTAGTACCGTTATCAATGAAGCACAAACATTTCTCATCTGAAATCTAAAACAGTTATACCTCTTCTAAAGAATGTCCAGGGTAAAAGAAATACAAATGAGCACATTTAATAATTTCATCTCTTTATTTAACTTATCACAGCCCTCGTGGCGTTTTGAAGTTCATTCCGATGGTTGGCTGTGTTACTTGAAGCTTTGAGAGGCCACCGAAATCCTGCAGGAAAAAAGCAACAGACTGAAAGTTACTTATCCAAGGCTTCAGCTTAAAGAGTGTTTTAAAAACAACAAGCATGTCCTGCACATTTAAAATGACTCACCATCATCTTTAGCATTTCCTTTGTGTCTGGATCCACTTCAATGAGCTCCTGGTCCAGAGCTGAAATCTGCAGGATGAGAAACAAGATCACTGTAGAACTAATATCATAACATGAGGAAAAATGGGCTTACATGCCAGTTGCAGCTAATCTGCAAAACGACTCGTCAGTGAACAGACCTCTGGGACGTAGTTGTCCCTCCTCTCCCTCTCCTCCTCCTGCAGCTTGATGGAGATTCCTCTGACAGGACCACGTTGGATACGCTTCATCAGGTGTGTCACGTACCTGAGAAAACAAACAGCAACACAAAGTTTATTTTAAAAAGCTAACAGGTTAGTGATCACATTTACAAAAACACAATCGAATTAAAAGCCTGACTGGAATAAAAATGCTTTATGTGAACTCACCACAGAATACTATGACCCTATCATACTCACTATAACCTTGTGACTGAGATGGGTGGGTTTTGTCAAATGTTATTCCGATCGCCGCTCACAACTACACGTCTGTTACGTCATGCATAGACATACCCTACATCTGCGTTTTCACAAGCTAGATAAAAACATGGCGATTATTCTCCTGTTGTCTCCCCTCTTCATCATATGCAAAAGTTTATACCGTTTGGCTCGCTGATGTAAAACTAGGGCTGGGGGATATGGCCTAAAATCAATATCAGAATCTGTCGAGGATTTCACCTCGATAACGATAAATGGACAATAACTACATGTATGCGAAGAAACAAAAGTTGTCCACTACATGGCGCTGTCGCATGGAATATGTGAGTCACATTTTTATGAGATTCAAGGTGGTACAGTAGCTTCTTAAAGGGACATGAACGTTGCCAACCTACACACATCTGTTCATTTTTTTATTGTCAAACTTATTGACATGAGAAAAATGATCTCAATAAAAGTCAGAAATTTCAATAAGGATAAATTTTCGATTTATTGCCCAGCCCTAAGTAAAACCGTGACCAGAAAACAAATGTCTGAAGAACATTGTTCTCAACGCACACAGCCATGTTTGTGTTTATGTCTACGGCCCGTTTCCAGTACGTTAGGTAGTTACTGGACACGTCAAAGCGATCTGCTCCGATTAAACGTGTAACAGATGTAAACAACCATGTACACAGTCAAATTCTAATCTGAACTATGGCTGGGCAATAAATCAAATTTATCATTATCAAAATTTCTGACTTATCGAGATCATTTTTCCCATGTCAATAAATTTGATATTGAAAACATGAAAAGATGTGTGTAGGTTGGCACCGATAATGTCCCTTCCTTTAAGAAGCTGTACCACCTTGTGTCAACTCAAGCTTTTGTTTCTGTGCATACCTGTAGTTATCATCCATTTATCATTATCGAGATGAAATCCTCAATACATCGTGATATTGATTTTAGGCCGTATCACCCAACCCTAGCCTGAACTATTATCAGATTCAAGACATTTTGCACAGGTTAACATGCCTACTGTGCTTGAATCTTTGGTACAAATGTCCATGTTGATCTGCGCTTCAAAGAAGAACCTAAATCTGTTGCTCTGGAAAATTAGTAGACATTTTTACTGACTTGCTGCTGTAAGGATGAGCAGATACCTAAAACATCTATTAGCCAACTGTTCTGCCAGAAAAAGCCACACAGCTGCTGTGAATAAAACTTCCTTGTCTTAAAAGGAAATATTTTTGGTTGTACCGACGGTCCATCCTGTGCGACTGGTCCCATCACATCCAAACCAATGAGTGGGCATGAAGTCCTACAAAAATCTGCATTTATTTTCACTAAATTTGCTGATTGTCCCAAGCTTTTGGTTAGCAGCATCACATCAACATTTATGAACACATTTTTATTCCAGTTTGAGACCACAGCACAACTTATTTAACTGGTGTTTACGATGGATTTATTTTAAATTCAGCCAGAATTCTGATAAAAGCTGACACCAACAGCAAGTAGCCAAAATGGTAAATGGCCCATATTTGTATAGCACCTTCTTGGTGTTCCACAGCCCCCCAAGGCACTTCACAACACAATCAGTCATTCACATGCTGGTCGTGATGAGCTACGATTTAGCCACAGCTGCTCTGGGGCGCACTGACGGAAGCGAGACCGTCGAATACTGGCGCCACCGTCTCTCTGACTACCACCAGCAGGTAAGACAGGTTAAGTATCTTGCTCAAGGACACAACAGCAGCATTCTCTGGTGGGAGCCGGGATCAAACCTACAACCTTCCGATTACTGGACAACCTGCACTACCTCCTGAGTGAATAGTACTGGGATATTTATACAAATGTTTTTGTTTATGCCAACCCCTTTATAACACTTTTATAACAATGCATGCAGCTTTCATCTTCTAGCACACTTGGATCCACCCAAACTCCAGCTGAACAGCGCTCCTACAAACACACCAGCCCCCCCAAATAATATTTACACCTACACAAACAAAAAGCTTAACTTTCTGTTAATAAATTCCCACTCCTGTTTGTTATTCCACATAACTAACATCTTTCAGGTGGAAGGATAAAAATCACCTAGCAGCAGCTTCAGCAACACCTACAGCAGGGGTCGGCAACCTGTTCCCATCAAAGAGCCATTATTACCAGTTTCCCACAGTAAAGAAAACACTGGGAGCCACGGCGTTGTGGGCGGTGCCTACCCTCAGACAGCAGAGCGCTGCTCACAACAGGTGACAGCAGCCAGTACCGGTCGCTCGTGTACGTCAAAGTTATCTTTCATAAGAAGATGATCAATAAAACAATTTATATAAAACGGATCCAGAAGTTGTAGCCCGTCTCTGCCGACAATATTTTGATATTTTTCACCCTGTTGGTGGTTTTACTGAGCAGGTGCCACTTTTGTCATACGCTTCTTTTTAAAACATGTTTAGACTGTTCAGAATACAAATCCAGGCGCTGTCACGTTTGATTGTTGTAATTAAACTTTGTAGGTGGGGAAGGTCAGAAAAGGATCCGACCAATTTGTTTTTCCCTCATTTACAGTGACGGAGATAACGGCGCAGTGCGCCTGGCTCTGGTGTTAATCAAGTTCAATTATATCTCTTTGCAACAATTTTCATAAGAAAACAGTAAAGTTAAAAGCAGGGCTTGTGTTGACCGGACAGTTCCCGTATTTGGCCGTTTATGTTGACGGAGAAAGAATAGAAAGAATTACCCCGACGCATGCAGATGAACTGACACTTTATTCTACGCACATCACAGACGTAGCTAAATCACTCAAGAAAAGATTCCCATCTGAACATCTGAGCTGGACACCGCTCAGCGCAGCTCACTGTCAGCGCGTACATAAGGTGCACAGCGACCTGAGGATGTGGAGAGGGGCTTGGAGCGCGTCGCAGAACCAGTGCGCATGCGGGAAGATTCCTCCCACTGAAGTGAGTGTTTTCCAAACCCTGTCTCTCAGAGAGACTTGTCACTTAGAAAATGTTCCCTGATTATGAAACTTTGGCGAATAGTGCTTGTTCCCGTCTCCAATGTGGCGTCTGAGGAGAGTCCCAGAATCTCACATCCTCTTCAGCTCAGAAAGCGCCTATGATTACGCACAAGCGTGAGCCGTCAACCCGGTCTCACAGTAAGACCGGGTTGGACCTGTTCAGGTTTACGCAGACAATCTTTACATTTAGAATTGGCTTACAGATGTAAAATTAATGCAGTAAAATATAAAGCATTTTATTTAAATATCCATTATTTTACAAGCACAGAGAGCCACATCAGATGGATGGAAGAGCTGCATGCGGCTCCAGAGCCGCGGATTGCCGACCCCCGACCTAGAGTATGGGAACTAGAACAGTGCAGAACAAAGCATCGATGGAGAGTTAACCTGATGAACATCTGGGTTAAAGGAGGAAGTCTCCTCCTGTTCTTAAAGGTTTCCTCCAAGAACACTCATCACTTCTAACCAGCTCGTGTGTGTGTATCAGGAAAGAGTTCACCGACAACAAAACCATCAAAAAGCAAACCACCTAATTACCAAACTAGTTCATCTTTACGTACCCTGCAATTTTGTTGCGCAGTGGCTTGCTGGGAATGATGGCAATCTCCTCACACACCCTCTTGTTGACGTGGAAGTCATTGCCCAGACGGGTGTAGTATTTCTCAATGATGACCCTGGAGGCCTTCTTGATGGTCTTAGTCCTGACGCGTCCCTGAAGATACCATATTTAAATAAAACATCACCAACAAACAAGATTATATATTTAAACAAATATAGCAATAATGCAGGCAGCACGGTGGTACTGCTGTCTTGTAGCGAGGTCGCACAATTGAATCCCAGCTCCCAGCCTTTTCTGCATGGTTAGTAAGCCTTGTCCATGCAAGACAAGATTTCTGACCAAAAACGTGTATGACAGGTTGATTGATGACTAACTGTTCCTATGTGTGACAGATTGAGGGATTACACGTGTTCAGGGCGTCCCCCACCTCTCACATAACTGAGTGAAGACACCAGCTCCCTGCAACCCGACTGATGAAGCAGTTAGATGGGAGATAATGAGGAAATAACCCCCGTTTTACACATTATTCAAAACAGCAAAATCCAACTTCTAGTGGCTTTATTTTGTGAATTAAAATAATGAGATTCTGCCCTGGCTGGGAAGCATGACCTCTGAATGATAAAGGAGCACAGCTACAACTGTAAATAGCTGCTAAAACCACAAACTTACACCCAATGGCCTTTTGTATTGTTAAAACAATGTGTAAAAATTCCGTCTTCCTGGAATGTTAACCCATTTTAATGCTATTAAAATAAATAGTTTAACACATAAAATACATGACAATGAGCTTTGAAGGGCTACTTAAAATATATGCTAAAATCTTTTAACTGACGCTATGACTTTTATTTTTTTACTATAATCTCGTCTGATTTTCTTTAGTAACCCTCCCGCTCCAAAAACAAAAACAAAAAAAACAAAAAAACATGAAAAGCACTTGAATGTATTCCTGAACGAAGTACAGTTTGGGTTTTAAATACGCATGAGAATATCGAAATCCGTTTGTTATTAAATCTGATAGTTTCTGGGGGGCTGGACGCTGTTTGTTACAGCTTGGTGGAAACGCGGATAAAGAGGATTGACAAGGATTGTTGTGAAAAGCTGGAAAAGCGTTTGTGTGTGTACCCACCATATTGACTCGGCCCCGGTAGAAAAGGCTCTGCAGAGAGAAGGACCGGAAGTTTATAGAGACCAGCTGCAGTGCTGCAACAGCGGCCCCTGGTGGCAGGAGGAAAGAACAATCTAGGAAACAACGCATCAAATTAAAAAAAACAGCCTTTCGGCAACTAAATAAAAACAAGTGACTAACAAACACAGTTGAAGGTTTCTTTTCAACCTCTTGGATACTAAAAAACTGCAGTAGCTCAGTTATCTGATCAGATATACTTTGGTGGAGAGGTAGTTGCTCATAAAGAATAGTTTTTATTTATTATGGGACATCTTTGTGAGGATTTTCCACGTTTTAGCCATGAGATGCTGAAGTATCTTGTGTAATAATGACACAAAAAACTATATTTAGTCATTGCCTCATTCATTCCACGACAAATTGTTAAACTAGACAGAATAGATGTGTTTTCTGGAGAATTTTTATCTTAGAATAGTACAAAGTTAAAGAATCTCTATAAAACCTGGATGAAGCAGAGGATTTTTGCCATGAGAAATGAGGAAAACCTTCATTCACTTCCTTGAAAACAGGAAGCCGACCAGCACAAAGATGCAAAAAGTGCCCCTTTTCCTCAAAGACACACAAACATGGGTTTCCTGTTTTCATCTTTAATGTAATTTCTTTTTTTTTAAATCCATATAAAATCACAACCAGTCAGAAAAAGTGGAGAGATCTTTTATTCTACATAAAAAGGGTGCAAATTGGAGTTTCCCTTTAGGTGTGGAGGGAATAAAAAGTGATCTGTAGAAGGTTCACATGAGACATTGTATTGTATGAATCCAAGGACACAAAAAAAGCCATCTCAGATAAAAAGGAGCTTTACCTTTCTGCAAATTAAAAACAAACCATAAAAAGAAAAATTGTGGGTCCTTCATTCTTGAAGCCCTTGACTAACTCATTCAAATACATTTTGAAGTGACATTCATATTTCAACACAATATTTATTTACAGTTTAAGGATTTCTCTTAATCATAGCTCTAAAAAATGCTGAGGGGAGGATAGAATCTTGGAGCTGTACATTTTGATTTTCCACAGTCTGAAGAAATAAAAAAGAAATATGAGACTACTTTTTATAGAAATTCCCAACAAAGACTACAACTGTGAACTCTGTACAATTTACAGTTCAAATAATCATCACAATATTGCAGTAAATATCACCCCCCCCCCCAAAAAAAGAAAAATATACAGTAAATCAAACAACTCTACAGTACAGCAACAAGAAAAAGTGCCAGAGAACCCAAAAAGACTTCAACCATTCATTCAACACACTTAAGCGATGTGCACACACACACACACAAAGCCATAAACACAACTTTGAAAAGAACAGTGAGAACCAACAGGAACTGTAATGGAATGAGTCACAAAAGACTTTAAAACAAGTTTGGTTAAATGTGGACTGGATGCCATGACGTCTCACTGACCCAACACTATAGGAGTCTTACGTATAAGAGAGGCTACTCGCCGTCTCCTGATAAGCCATGCAGATACAGATCATAGAGTACTCCTATAACGCCCTGCAATAGGCTCACAGAGTTAAACGTAAATACATCAGAGTAATATATCGATAAATATCAGTTCAGCTACAGAGCAACATGACACATGGCGTAAAGAAGGCGGCAACGTTTTAAAGACGATTTGTTTTATAAATTCAACCCATATTCAAAAGGATTGGTCCATTAAGTTTTTTGCTCTCCTTGTTGGTGTTATGACAAAAACGAATAACGTAGGGAACAAAAGTGGAACAATTGTTTAAACACCTTCTGTGACAATCTGCAACACTGCCCGGTACAGCACTGAACCATCTGCAAGTTGACAAAAACATGAATGGACAAGGACAAAAGGTGGAGTGGAAAAACAAAACATTCAGCGTAGCATTTTCCTGGCACAGGTAAAAGGCGTGGGTTAGCTAGTAGTCTCAGAAATGGCACTCAGGGAATTCAGGGGGAGCTCTGAAGGCTATTTAGTCTTGATATCCATCTCACTACGTGGGAAAACCTTTAGCTTTGTCGTCAAAGAGCAGCAGCGACGCAGTCCAGCAGCCTCTGATGATTGTGGAGAGAATTACAGATAGCTGATGTCAAAGGTTTGGCGTTCGATAAGACTGTTAACGTCTGACTAAGATACACCGTCATAAATAATTGAAAAAGGCAAAGAGGTGTAACTGCAGCTCAGCTGGGTGGCAACAATCCCTCAGTCCTCATCTGGTCAGTCTCAAAGAAATGAATACCTGTCATTCAAATAGCCTGATGTCCCGTCATTCACCTCTAATCCTTTGTGTGGAGTTACTCTGAAGCAAAAATCAAAAACCAAACAGAAACGATCCTATAGATTCTCAGATTCAAGTATGTTTGATAACAATAACTTAGGCCCCAGAGAAACCGAAACATCAGGGGTAAAAAACAAAACAAAATAAAAAGGCTGTACAGTGTAAATACATACAAGACGCAGGTTAATATACGGACTCACTGCAACACAGAGGACATTCTACTGAAGCAGGTCCATAAAACACCTAATCTGACACTCTGCCGAGTGTCGATTCACCTTCCACTTGCATGCGAGGGTGAGCGAGTGTGTGTAGAGGTTAAAGGGGTGGAGCATGGTGCCAAAAAAAGTAGGTAGAGATGAGATAAAAAAAAAAAGTGTATTCCCTGCACCCTAGAGGGAAAGCCTAGCACACGAGGCAGCTACAATTAAAGTAAAAAGCACATTTAAAGTGTTATTAAGAAGGCAGAGTCTTGTTAGGGAAAGCCGGGGTCAACAAATGTAGTGCAGTTATGATCTCAAGCTTTTTTGTTTACCCTCTTTCCCTATAAAACCATGGCTAGTTGGAATGGAAAAAAGCAAAACAATTTCACATTAAATTAGAAAATAATGTACTGTAATTCACTTTTCTGTTAGGATAGGCAAGGTTAGACATGGAGGAGATTGTGTCAAGGCAGTCCTCTACGCCTCATTCGCACTGATGCTATGTTAACGGGCTCAGCGCAGAGGGACCTGGGGTCAGCAGTCAGCTCAACATGGGACTTCACATGTAAGGGGGAGGGGTGGATATCTCTGGAACTACACATCATCATCATCATCATCATCACACCTTCTGGCTTTGCATTCTTGTCGATACATTTCATTACGTTAAGAGAAACCATTAACTGATTTAAACAGTCTCGACTTTGGGCTCAATTACTCTGGAGATCCCACTAATTACCCCCAAATCACAAAACCATGCTGCTAACTTGTTGTCCAAGAAGCAACATAATGTGATCGCCTCGCAGGTGGCGGGTCAGGGTTAAGGCATCAGACAGAACCGCTTTCAGAGGCTGTGATTCTTCAAACATATCAAGTCTGTGGCTTGTGTCGTTTTAACGCAAACACCCCAACTGTTGTTGAAACATTATTTAGATTATTGAAGACCTTCCTAACCTGTTAAAAACACATCGTTTTGGTGTCTGTCAGACTCTAACTGTACGTTTCTTCCCATGCACATACTGGATTATATAAAAAGCTCCAAAGTCGTCAACTTTTCCGTCCATACATTCAATGTGTATCATTAAGAATTCGAAGGACAAGTAGTGGCAAACAAGTGATAAATAGGATAAATACGTGTTTCCAGCCCCGTCTACAGATGTCAGAATGCTGCTCGTTTCCACAAAGATGACAGGAGCAAAACGACATGATGGTAAGAAGCCAATGTAGTGTTTTTTTGAGGGCATTGCGGTTACAGGGAGTGCTTTAAAAAAGCTAAGTGAGCAGAAATAATCCTCAAGAGACCACAGTGTGGGGGGGCGTCCCTGGTCGTCTGTTCTCAAAGGCTCAAATCACAGCGCCAGGGTTGACCTCTCCGGAGGAAAAAAGTGCAGGGGTCAAATGGCAGACTGATGTTCTTTGTGCGTCTGCGTGAAAACAGGCAGTTAGCAACTCTTGCCTTCTCCTGTGATCAGGTTTACATTCAGTCTTGCGTCAGGAATGACCCCAAAAGGAAAACAAAACAAAACAGGGTTTGGTGTAAAAATACAAATGAACAAGGGGCAACGCCAGGTGAACTGGGACTTATTCACCGAGTCAAACTTTAGCTGTAAAGCAGGCTAAATGTGGAAAGATTCCACAGGAAGATCCATCTCTTCCCATGAAGAAAAACACAAAGACTGGAGGGAAAATATGGCAAAAGATGACAAGGAAAAAAAATAAGATCCTCTGCAAAACTGACGGAAAAAGGCTCCGCGTTTGGTTGACTGACCTGTAAAACATCCTCGTATAACTTAGCAGAGGGGAAAAACTTAAAAAGACTCCCATCAAAGACGCATGTCTAGTACATCTCAAAGCATTTTTATCAGATCCCAGCAGAGATCAATTCAAAGTGATCTTTCAGTTGAGTCCCTCTTTTTATTCTGAAAGGGACCGCCTTGATTTCTGAAATCACAATCGACTGAGCCGGACGTAAGTGACGTTTCAGTCTGGTGATGGTCATCATTTGTGTCTTGATGTGTTCTTCTTCCGTTTTCTCCTGAAGAAACAGCAGCACCTGCAGACAGACAAAGATGACATCATGTGTGCATCACAAAGGCTCCAAGGGAAGCAAAAGAAAGAGCAAAAACAAGCAAGATGCTTTCATTACTTCTCCAAATTGGGATAGTTATGTTATGCATTCGGTAAAATACTTCCACTAAATACCGCAGCAATTTCCTAATGTTGTGACTTGGCACACATATGGCAATAAAAACTTCTGATTCTAAATAGTAATCCTTATGCATCTCCTGTTGATTCCATACACATGACAGGAACTTCAAACTGAAGACCACATTTCTTGTTTACAAACAATAATAATTAGAAAGTGAACACAAAAAGCACAAGACATGATGACTTCACAGGTAAAACCATACAAAGACAGAAGAAGATGCGGCTCAGGACATAGGACAGCGACTGGGTCCTCTCACACTAGTTCATCAATAGCAAATTATACAACAATACAGCAATAATCCAAAGCTACATTTACTAAAGAAAAGGAAATTGAACCATTAGACAATTAAAGAAAAGATCAGCAAAATCTTTGCTCAAATTAATTCTGTTAGGTGGTTTCAAAAGTCAAATCTAAAAACACAAGAGCTTAGTTTTGCTCCTCTGGGGTTTACAGTCCTACTGAACCAGTGAGAGTCCAGTTAAATTTAGTCATCAACTCCACTGGGCCTGGCCTCGGCTGGTCCACTCCCTGTCCCATGAGTATGATGTGGACAAGCAGAGAGGGACTCACCACAGGTTGAGCATTTTCACGCAGCTACAGGAAGAGAGGAAAGAGTGTCAAGAGAAAAGAAAGAAGGGTTAATAACAGTACGACTAAGTTGATGGGTCTGGGAGGGGGCACATGCCACACAAACGTACACACACACACACAGAGAGAGGTGAGACACACACTGGAAGAGGAATAAAAAGGGTTTGCAGAACTTCATGTTTACCAGAACGTTTAAAAGAGGACTACATAGAACCCCACAACCTTACCTACCCTACAACCAGAGAAAACATGACCCAGTTCCACCCTAGCTCTCATCAAATACTCAACGGAGCCTAAAACTGTAACTAAAACAAGAAAAACCTCCAAAGACATTTTATTCTGATAAAAGTTTGTTTGCTTTCTCTGAATTCTGCTGAGGAATCTAATTCAGCTCTTCAAAGCTTAGAACATTCATTCACTCTGTAAAGAGGTTTAAAAGAAACTTACCGTGAAAACTTTAAAACGTTGGTTTTATTTAGTCTCCTAAACTAAATTAGATGATTTCTTGGCAAAGACAATTAATTTTTACACAAACTCATTTAAAATGACTTTTAAAGAAATATCAAATTTCAATAAATTAGAATTAGGTTGAGTCAAATAATATACGACCTAAAAAACGTAGGAAAAACACTTCGTTTCAGACAAAAGTACAAAAGTTATTAAAACAAAAAAAGTTCTGTAAAATCGATAACGCTGAAAACGTTGATTTTTGATGGATAAAATTTCACCTCAGAATAACGAGTCTGTGTTTTAAACAGATTCTGACAGTTGTTATTTGGAGAATTAAACGATCAGGTTGATCTATGGTGAGGAACTTGAGGACAACAAAGCAGCTACGTTTCTAATCTTGACGAGCTGCAACAGCCAAGGAGCGTTTGCTCATTTAGAAAAATTAACTGAGATCATCACAGAGAAGCAACAGACGTAGGAGCAACATGACAGCTGTGGGCTTGCAACTGTCACAACTCCACATCACGTCAAGATGTGGTGAGAGAGACAGAGGTTGGAAGAGTGAGGAAGGAAGGAGGAGCAACAGATGGACATGAATGAGAGGCGTAGAGGCCGAATGACACATACTTGGCCTCATCGACCACTTCCACCTCTGCCTGAGTCGTTATCGGAGCGCTGGAATGGCCCAGTGGATCGTCTGCATTCAGCTCCCCGTTGGGTGAAATGACCACCTGGAGCACAGACAGGTGTTACTGCTGACCAGTTCAGTGACTGAACCCAAAAACAGCAACATCACTAAAACAGGGATTGGTGGTCCAGGCTGGTTTTCTCTGCACAAACACGCCAATTTCCTCTAATGAACATAATGGGAAGTATTTTAAACAACAGGAAAGGACACGTGTGTGTGTGTGAGAGTGTTTGGAGTATTGGAATAACACACCAGAATTAATAATAAAGCTAAACACCTGTTTATGGTTGCATCAGTAGCCTGCCTGAGCGAATGACTATTATTAAAACGTGTTGGGTATGTGCACACACGTATGCATAAATTATTTTTCCTTTAAAGTCACATAGAACCACAGCAGTGACTCTGCAAGTTAACCTGATATTTTATCATCTTTCAGATTAAAATATCAAAGTTAAAATTTCTCCTATGTAATATCCAACTTCACCTCTAAACTAATAAAAATCACTATGAAAGGTTTGAAATAGTCTTTGCATCTAATCACGCACTCTATTGTAAGAAATATGTGTTTTATCTGACTTGTCATACTCATTTGTTTTAATTATTTAGCACAAGCTATTTTTTACATCTCAAAATGTGCAAAAATTGGAGCTAGAGCCTGAACAAACCACTCAACCTTCTCCCTCTCCTAATAACATTTTACTTTCTTTAACATAGAATGTGCTACTACTAGTCCACCTGTTGATTTTGAAATTGTAAATTCACTCAGTTAAACACAATAAAGATTTTCTCTAAATAAAATATCCACTAAGAAATCACACTGTAGCCATAGAAACACTACTTGGTATATATTGTGTGAGTCTGCTCTGTCTTCTCGATCCCCAGTGAATCGTGGAGGATGGCTGCTTATACTGAGCCAGGATCCTCTGGAGGTTTCTTCCTGTTAAAAGGGAGTTTTCCTCTCCACTGTCGCTAAATGCTTGATTAGTATAAGGATTGCTGTAAAGACTCGGTGACTTGATGCAACCTGCTGGGTTCCTTATATAGGAAACTTTTTACTGGAATGTTTACAGTGTGAAGTGCTTTAGCACGACTCTTGTCACGATCTTGTGCTTTACAAATAAACTGAATTGAAGAAAACAAAAAGAGTTGGTTCTATGCAGACTCTTGCCTTGCTTTAGCGCTGGAACCAGTTTGTTGGGGAAAAAAGGAAAACAATGTGCATAAATGAGAACATTATAGTTGAAACTTTCCACAGCATGCACTAAGTCAACTAAGCTAACAGAGTAGAAGTTCAAAATGGAATTTTTCTTTCCTGTGTGCGCGGGTGTACGGGAAATATTCATATAACACAAAACTTTGTAGATAAAGTTAAGTGTTCCGAGCAGTTTTGTCCTCAATAGGAGAGCGTTTGTAGATTTTAGACTTTGACACAAGTGCAGCAGAAGTGGTTTTTGTACAACAGGAAGCAGGTAACCAGTGTAAACACATCATACTTTTGATCCAAAACTTGGACAGTCTGAAAATCACTGGTAAGGACAAAAAGTCTAAATTACTCATTGATGTTCCTTGGAGAAGAACAACCATTTACAACTTTAACAGCATGCACTGAGCTGGCTGAGACCATCCATCCATCCATGCAACAGGTGTCTTCATTTTAAGCATAGGATCACAGATGCAACAGCTTCTAAAGCCAAAAATTACACCGTCAACATCTGGGGTGGGTGGCACCAGATGACATGCATATGGTGGAGCAAAACAATAAATAAAATAAAAACAACATTTCTCAGCCAGGAGTAAGGGAGTTTGAGAGGTAAATGGTTGTAGATCTGTCTCACACCGAGCCACTAGAAATATTAAGATGCTAACTTCTGATTAATTCTTAGCTGTATTATAAGAGATTTTGCTTTAAAAAAATTCTAATATAAACAAGCTTATATTTGATCAAGAAACTCTTTTTACCCTTTGTTAAACTGGACTTGGAACAGCCCATTAACAAATATTTCATCTTCCAATTCCACCAAAATATCTGTCAAGATTAGGAATAAATGCAGACAAGATTCAGAAAAACATTTTCTCTAAGAGGTAAAGCATTACTCCTTAGCATTCATCTACAGGCACATACGGTAGATATTCTGTTGTCTTGGATTAGATCCATGAGACAGACTCCATGGACATTGAGTGGGGCTGCTGGCTGATCAGGTGAGGGTTATGTACCTGCACTGAGCCCCCGTGCCTGTCCGCTGCCAGGTGAGAGGTCAGATAGGAAGAGTTTGCTTGTCGCGTGGGTTGCACCTCCCATGCTCCTCGCCGATCTGAGACTGCGGTCTGCTCAGGAGTCAGGGGTTGCATTGGGGATGTGAAGAGGAGGTGGGATTGGAAGTGCAATGGAGGAGGGAGGAGGAGTGGGAGTGATGGAATAATTGAGTTAGGAAAGATGGGCATTTGGGAGTGTGTGACAAGGTACCATGCAAAGCAGCATGAAAAAAAAAGAAAAATGGAGAATAAATAAATAAAAGCGTGAATTAAAATCAAAGCAAGGCTTCAGCCAGAGAACTGCATCAGAAACTAAAGAGCGTAAAGCCAAATGGGCATAAGCTCCAACAACTCAAACTCTGGTACTAACCTCAATAGACATAAACCTATTTACTGTTATAGCACTGATTAACAAGAGCAGAATGAGAGCAGTGAATTCATAAAGAAAGGGCAACCACGAATAGTAATAAAAACATGTAATACGTGCTAATCCACAGACATGCTCATCTCTAATGTGAATGATGAGGGCAAAGCAGAGCTTTCGCTCCACCACAGCACCACTGCAACGCAGACACCTGAAAGCCACGTTTGGAGTGTAAAGTCGATGCGTCTCGTTGACACTTTCTGGAATATTACATCAAAGACTCACTGGAGATTGTTGAGGAAACATTTCCTTATTTCTTTGCCAACATGTTGGCAGTTATAGTAAATAGGAGTAGCTGAAGCTTTCTTATTTCTGTGTTTAATAGTAAAGACCGTTAATAGCAAACTTCTAATCTGTAAAGTTGAGTTGGTTTCAAATTACTGCTGGTCATCAATTTAAAATTGCTGTGAAAAGTTATAATAATGCAGAAACTCGTAGGTGGACGGACTTCAGCAGGTGAGGTAAAACCTGTAGTGGAGTCCAGAACAGGACAGGGGGAGGTTAATCGTAGAGCTGGGCGATTAGGCAATAGCGGTATTTATCCTGAAATAATAATGAGTCGATACAAACCTTCAATACAAAGAATCAATGAACAGCTGACGATAGTAAGAGTTGGACCAATGATGTTGCTGGAATAGACGCACAATAGCACGCGGACGCGCTAACGGCTAGTGTTTGTGTAGCTGCAGACTTTTATTTCAGAAAACAGACAGGACATCATTGGGAAAAAAACTGGAAAAAATGAGCACCTCCAATCATCAACGATAACAGTTCAAACAGTTCAATTGAGTGGATGTAAAAAAAAAAAAAAAACTACCACCTTCTATCAAGGCTAAAATAAAGTTTAAGGACCATTTCGGACGATTTTTATAAATGCTAAAGCTTCCGATTGTCATGGAGATTTTGACCTGCATGTAAATTACCTTTTTGAAACGATGCTAAAAGCCATCATGAATACTGATTAATGAAGTGACTGATGGGTTTTAGTCTACGGCCTCTCCTTGTTGCTGCCGCTGAGACAAAACTCACCTGATTTCTAACTGGTGGGTGCTGCGAGGGTCTGTCCCGGTGAGGATGGCTTTCTCTTGTGGCACCAGCTGCACCAGAATCTACATGGACAGATCCCACTGGTGTGGGCTGAGAGGGGTGATAGTATCATTAACAGAATCCTGTGCAGGCCGACTTAAAATCTAACATGTGCCACTTACTATCTGCCTTCCAACCCAGTCGTAAGTGTAGTCGAAGGTGTATCCTTTCCTCTCGAACAGTTCAGTAAACAAAGTCCTCAGATATTCATAGTCTGGTTTTTCAAAGAAGTCTAATCGCCTCACATACCGTAGATATGTGGCCATTTCCTCTGAAGGGAACAAAACAAAAACAGCTTATTGCACCATCTGATTTGAATTATCATACAAGTACAACACGCCAGCATTTTATACTGAAAACCCAGGAGCATACCTGGAAAGTTCTCACAGAGGACCTCAATAGGAGTGTTTCTCTTTGTGTCCCCAATCTTCTGGTATCTTTCTTTTAATGTGTCAGCCTAAACAAAATCCACAAGAAACAGTCAAGACTAGATGTTTCTACCCAAAATCACCAGCAGAAGCAATTACAGTGACATATTATCAAGAACAAGATTTTAAATGGATTAATATGTTTGTCATTGTTGAAACAAAATTAATGTAATTAGATGTAGTCCCTTTAGAGTTAAATAAATATACCAAATATGGATTATAAATATGGGTGAACAGAGTAAACATAAAAAGGTAAAATAAAACAACAGGGATTAAAAACTGGTATTAATGAATGCCTTGCAAGCTGTACTCGCCGGGGGAACAAAAAGCCCAGAATTACTTTGATCAGGGTTAGTTAGGGTTCACGCTTTTCTCATCATGAAAACGGCTTTGATTTGTTCCTGTGTTAGCAGTTAGCTCTGTGAGTTTTGAACATGATACTTATATTGTTGGAAAGAGGAGAGTCTGAGCTTTAATTTAAACAAATGCTGCTGATGATAGGACCCTACTGCATTGCGCTATGGTGTGTTTTTCTCTATCGTTGTAGTTGGCGTGTTTTTATGGCCGTTTCACTTATTGTTGGCATTGGGTGTTGTTGAGGGAGGATATGTGGATTCTATCGTTTAGATGAGCCTCTTCCTGTTACGTACGTGGGTAGTTTGTGTATATTAGTGAATATTAAGCATGTTTTTTGGTATGATTTTGACACAGGAAGAGACAAAGGAAGTGTTGGGTTAAACAGGTTTAAAATTTTTGTTTATCAGTAAAACACAACTTGAAACAAAAGGTAAAAACATCATTCAGGCTTAAACCGTGTTGCACATGAGATAAAATAAGCCTTTGCTGCAGTGGTGGAGCTGAGAAGGTGTTTAATAACCTAACAGCTACTTTTTAAGCAGTGTGGGGCCCAGTTTCAATTAGAAATATTTTAGGCAACTATAGGCAGTAAGTATTATTTGTTTCTATTTGTGCGGACATAAATAGAATTTGCTATGGTTTTGGTGAGCTTTGACTATAATATTATTACATTAAGAAAAGCACCCACAGCTTATTCAGTTATTCAGAGGTTTATGTAAGGCTCATTTTTGGCTTTACTAAGCTCAGACAAACTTTTTGGACCTTTAAAGTGTAATTGTGTTCCAACTGCAAAACAACACTTGCAACAGTAGCATGTACCAATGCTAATCACCATCTGTCCGGCTCATTGATGCAAACTGTTAGCATTTGAGTTCTAACCTAGAACCTATAGTGCAGCATGTCTGTCTTACAGTGGTCAGGATGTCAGGAACACGATGCTTTACATGCTCAAAAGCCCATCTTCTACATGCTGTGCATTAGTATCCCTGCCTGGTCTGCTAACCTCCTGTGGACCAGCTACCTGACTGTCTAAGCCAATCATCGACAACAGATTCCTACATCAATTTGTGAGTCATTTATTAATAATTTATTTCTTTGTGGGCAAGATGGGATGAGCTCACAGGTCAGATTTGTCCCAGGAGCCATCAATGGAAGATTACTGCTATAACCATACAATCCGTTTGATACCACTGATTAGATAGATTCGTTTTCCAACCACACTGCTGCTGCTTTCTATTTAGCTTTAACTGCTTCACCTAATTTTCAGGCACAGCTGGTGCCAAGAGTGCATATGAAGACTAAATTACTAACTTCAATTCATAATAAACTAATTTGATGCCAGCAACACATTTAAAGAACACTGTTAGTTTAGTTTGTTGTTATAGGAATGAGCTCAGTCAGCTGACATTTACAGAATCCACCAGATCAATTCATGTAACCTAAGGCTAACCTATGATAGCCCCTGAAATTGAGACAAACTGTAGCAGTAGTACAAAGATCTTGCTCTGCAGGATTATCAATGGCCTGAACAGTTTTGTTTCACACCAATCACAGTGCTCCATGTTTGTAGAGAGACACCGGGAGGGCTGAGCACCAGAGCTGTGATGGAGGAAAAACTACAAAGATGGCGCTGGCTCAGGAACAGTGCTTGTTGGAAACAGCTTTGGTATTAACTTTGTATCAAGTAGATTTGAGCTTTTCTTTGAGGCATGAGCAGATAAAGGTACTTCCGTCATTTATTTGAAAAAAGGATGCATCTTCTTCAACAGTGTATGTGGACTGGACCACTGACTGATTTCCAAATCGATGAATATGTCACGTTGTCTGATCTGGTCCCATGACTGCCCAATTGCGTGTGGAGACCATTTGATAGAGACAACTGTCGATTCTGCTCCATGACTGGGTTATTCCATGAGTCGTGACCAGACTACATATGTAGGATGGCTGCACCTGGCGGTAAGGCGTTTCCTGTTTTCAGTGTTGCAATACGTGTAGCTGTTTGGTGTTTGGGGCTCGTTAAAACTGATTTAATTTCTCTGTACTAGGATATCTCTGAGTTATTGTAGCACATAAGCACGCTAAAACACACATTTTCTGTTGTTCCACCTAGCTTTTAGGGAACCATTTGAGTTTGCACGCAGTTTATTTGGTGTTGAACAGTTTGCTCGTCCAGTTAGCTTAGCCTCAGCACGGCTATGGCTACTTCTGTCTCTGCTTCTCCGTCTCCTATCTCTTGCTCTCTGTGTCAGATGTTTAGTTACTCCTCTGCCTCCTTTAGTGATAATGGTACGTGTCATAAATGTAGTATTTTTGTAGCTTTGGAGATGAGGGTGTCAGAATTGGGGTCCCGGCTCTGCGCTGTTGAAAAACCCGTAAACAGCCGTAGCTACTTAGCTAGCGCGGGGCTAACTAGCTCAGAACAACCCCGTAGCAATCCTCCAGCAGAACCCGAGCAGCCGGGACCTCAGGCCGGCTGGGTGACGGTACACAGGAAGCACAGAACCCAGCCCGTGGGCCACCACCAACCCGTCCACGTTTCTAATAGATTTTCCCCGCTCAGTGACGCACCCACTGACAAGCCGACTCTGATCATTGGCAGCTCCATAGTCAGAAACGTGGCATTAGAGGCTCCAGCAACCATAGTTAAATGTTTACCTGGGGCCAGAGCGGGCAACATTAAATCTTATCTGAAACTGCTGGCTAAGGATAAGCGTAAATACAGTAAGATTGTTATTCACGCTGGCGGTAACGACACCCGGTTACGCCAATCGGAGGTCACTAAAATTAATGTTGCTTCGGTGTGTAAGTTTGCCAAAACAATGTCGGACTCCGTAATTTTCTCTGGCCCCCTGCCTGATCGGACCAGTGACGACATGTTTAGCCTCATGCTGTCCTTCAACCGCTGGTTGTCTAGGTGGTGTCCTGAAAACAACGTGGGCTACATTGATAATTGGAAAACTTTTTGGGGAAAACCTGGTCTGATGCGAAGAGATGACATCCATCCCTCTTTGGATGGAGCATATCTTCTTTCTAGGAACATGGCCAGTTTTGTTAGTCCTCCATGACAACCCAGGGTCCAGACCAGGAAGCAGTCGTAGTTTAACCCACCCCTCTGCAGCTTCTGTACTGTTACCCACCCACTACCCCATAGAGACAGTGTCCTGCCCACAGCCAAAACCACACCGATTAAATATCAGGCTTAATAAAGCAAATCATGGAAATCTCATAAATATTAGAACAAATTCAACTGAGCAGAAAACTAGAAAGATTAAATGTGGGTTGTTGAACATTAGATCAATTTTTTCTAAGACTTTGTTAGTTAATGACTTGATTTGTGATAATCAGATCTCTTTGCTCTCTCACAGAATCCTGGCTGCAGCAAGAGGACTATGTTAGTTTAAACGAGTCGACTCCTTCAAATTATTTAAATCATCATATTGCTCAAAGTACAGGGCGAGGAGGAGGAGTAGCAACCATTTTTCATTCAGACTTATTAATCAATCCCTTACCAATTAATAGCTACAGTTCTTTCGAACATCTTATTCTTAGTTTTCCTAATCCAGATTGCAAAACTGTAAAACCACTCGTTTGTAGTTTTGTATCGTCCACCAGGCCCTTACTCTGAGTTTTTGGATCAGATCTCTGATTTTTTATCTGATTTGGTGCTAAAAACTGATGAGGTCATTGTAGTGGGGGATTTTAACATACATGTGGACATTGAAAATGATAGCCTCAATGTAGCCTTTAGGAATATCTTAGACTCAATTGGTTTTACTCAAAGAATCCATAGCTCCACCCACTCTGCCATCATACATTAGACCTTGTACTGACTTATGGCATAGAGTGTGAGGAAATAACGATCTTTCCACATAATCCAGTCCTCTCGGACCACTTTCTGATAACCTTTGAGTTTTTTATAACCGAGTTCTCGAGACATGAAAGTAAATTTCACTATAGTCGGTCTCTATCTGACAACGCAGTTGCATCTTTTAAATCAACTGTTCCATCTTTACTGTCCTCAGCATCTCAGAGGAACGTAGCAGAGGGCAATATTTTCAGTTCTAGCCCCTCACAAATTGATGCCTTAGTTCATCATGTTAATTCCTCTTTACGTGTGGCATTAGAGGATGTTGCCCCTTTAAAAAAGAAGGTAATTAGGGACAGGAAGTTGGCTCCCTGGTTTAATTCTCATTTACGAGCCTTAAAACAAAACTCTAGGAAATTGGAGAGAACATGGCGCTATACACACCATGAGGAGGCCTACCTATCCTGGAAAAATAGTCTTGTGCTTTATAAAAATAAGCTTCGACAAACTAGAACTGCTTATTTTTCAGCATTAATTGAGGAGAATAAGCATAATCCTAAATTTCTTTTCAGTACAGTTGCTAAACTTACAGAATCATAGCTCTGAGCCATCTATTCCCTTAGCTCTCAGCAGCAATGACTTTATGGGATTTTTCACAAGTAAAATTAATTCTATTAGAAACAAAATCTTAAGCATTCTCCCTAATGCGACTTCTTCCTCAGTAAGTGAGGCAGCTTCAGAACCTCATCTGTGCTTGAACCGTTTTGATCCATTTGAGCTTTCAGTTATCAAAAACATTAGCTTCATCTAAACCTTCAACTTGCATTTTGGATCCAATCCCAACCAAATTATTTAAAGATGCATTTC